TTAAAAAAAAAAGTAAAAAAAAAAAAAAAAAAAAAAAAAAAAAAAAAAAAAAAAAAAAAAAAAAAAAACTTAAGTTATTTTTTATAACGCAGTTTTATGTAGAATTTTAATTAAGAATGTAAGTAAAAAAATAATGTAAAGAAACATATGACAGTAATATGTATAAGAAATTGCAAACTTTTTTTTAATTTATGTTTTTTGGGTGTATATTAAGATATTATTAACATAATTGCCAAAAGTTTAAAAAAATTATATGTTATAGTAAAAATGTAAGTGAAAAACGAACAAACAAAGATATATAAACAAGGATACATACTATACAAGGTATCTATCAATTTAATGTCAATTATCAAATAAAGTATGATAAGCCATATTTGCTATTCGATGACTGATATTTAGCTCATTAGGGATATTATCGTGAGGGATATTGCCAAATCTGGAGTTATGAATATGAAAGCATCGGAAGAACTCGTATTAGTAATCTTACCATAAGCTTCGTAATAACGCTTCGCGCATTACCATTCCGGTTTGAAGTATCTCGACGTCTCTCGTAATGTTTGCGAGAAAGATTATGGTAGAATGATGATATGCACAGCTGCTAGATTGCAGCAGACGTATTTGGTTAATGCTCATTGCACTGTACCACGAATATCATGTATCTTATTTATCAATGGCAGATTGAGTATAACGTGACAAGATTGAGTGCCATTTTAAGATCAAACTAAATATCGTTTAGCCTTTTCTTCTGAATGGGGAAGAGAACAGATTACAATAATCTCGTTTTTAATGTCATTAAGATCTAGAGAGTTTTATCTCGGGTATTAAATGATTGTATCTTTTTTTCTTATCGGTTTGTAATTTCGTAAATTAGGTCGAAATACACTATTATATTGATACTTTGACTATTGATTATTTTTTTAGAAATACAAGAGTTATTAATGATTTAGTAAAATCGTCACTCTATGAAATAATTATCTGTTCTACAGAGAGAACGAAATATTCGAAAACTTTTCGCTGGACTTGTCCGGAATAAAATAACTCGTTTCTTATATAACTAATTTACATTTTAATCATCTTATTTTGGTTAAAACGTAATTTTATGTTGCGTAATTATTAATATTGATTTAAAAATTCATGAATTCATTCGTTTGAATAATTTGTTCGGATATTTTTCTCGATTTGAGTTATTAACAAAACTTTCGATAAGCTTGAAATATTTGCTAAATTTCTGGTCCAACATTATAATGTTTTCATCTTTTAGCAGAGCGCGAAGATTGTAATTAATTTCGGCGAATCATTAACTACCGCAGAATATCTTATCATTGAAAGAAAAAAAGAGAGATTATAGCGAAAAAAAAAAAAAACTGCAAGTGTGATAATTGCAAGCGCCTCATTAATATCATATGATTACTCGTATAAGAAATTAGATTGCCTTCATATTGATATCATTATTATGAAATATTGACAGTCCATAAGGATAAGGACGCGAGATATCATTGCCATGCCTGTAATATTATCATCGCCAATAATATCAATCGTTATTTATCGCTGACGTTTATTTCCCGCAAGTGTAGTGCAATAAAATTTTATGTGATGAAATCGCTCTGGCGAAAGTAAATACTTTATAAGCATATGAATTCTAAATGAGAGATGTATATTGACTAAGATATTCTCGAAGTCGAAGTAAAACTCATAAAAGATAAATTTTTAATATCTATAGAAACGCTGCTTTTATAAAGCTCGTTGAGATAAGCATTGCCGAAAGCAACGTTGATAATAGAATACGAAAAACATTATTATATCAAATTGAACTGGTGGTTCGTATCACGGTCGATTAAAGATTTAAGAATTACATTATTAATCGTTCTCGATTTTCTTCGCGTTGTTTATTACACAACTGAGCCTGACAAATACGACATGGAATGTCAATAACAATGTTTCCTTATTACAGATATGGCACAAGCAATGTTTCAAGTGTCAGGGTTGCGGTATGACCCTGAACATGCGGACGTACAAGGGTTTCAACAAACAGCCGTATTGCGAGGCGTAAGTAGAAACGTTTATATGTCTTTGATTTCCCTTCTACGAGGTGATCGTGCACCTCTTGCATCTCTGACGAAATTCACGTTCCACTTTATTGCAAAAAGAAAGTTGACCCGCGAAAATTGCTGTCGACGTTGCGAGCCAAACAGTTTGTCGCGTTTTCTTTTTTTCTCTGTCGCATATAATAAACTGTTTTGCGCAATCAAAGCCAAGGTAACCTAATACTTGTTGACGAGAACCGTTGTCTGGAAAAAAACCTAATAAAATTTTGCGTTTATTTTTTTGTTCCTAATATTCCGTACTCACGTTATTCCACGTATAGCACCGTATACTGATCATATTTCCTTTATTTTGTATTTTACGGCTGTTATATTATAATATTTGAAAACGAACTGTGTGTAATCTCTCCAATTCAACTCGTACAACACCTCTAGTCTAATTTATCTTAATTAATCTTAGAGTGTACATGCTACCTTCATAATCGCCGTCTACGCCCGAGAAGAAACGTGCCGTTCCGCATTCTCGCATTTAACGCACGCACAAATGTCATCTTTAACCCCCCCTCTCGAGCAGGATCTAACGCGTGAGATCGGATGTTTATTCAACATCCCTAAATGGGCAATTCGAGCATCTCGCCGCGGATACGCCTGGCACTCACGAGAAAGGAAATATGCAACATCGACGATATTCGCTATGCTAATGACACACGCACGCGCTTCACGCAGGCTCCACCGTCCCGCATGCACGCACGCGTAGCGCAATAATGCGACGTTTAATATCCGGTGAACAAACGGGCGGGGAGGGGAGGACTCGCGCGGGCGAGAGGAGCACGAGAGGAGAGAATAGCCGCTCGCTCGTTCGCGCGATTGCGAATCTCCGATAGTTAAACGCATACCAGGCGTGTCGGCGCGGCGAAAGCGAACGACCGCGCGTTCCCGCGGTCGCGGGATAATGCACGTCTGTCGTGCCTTCCTCCGGAGGATCCACCTTTCCAGAGGCAGCGAAGCGACTTTTAGACACGACGAGCGCGTCCTTTTGCATGCTACGTCGCCGGTAGCATGACGCTTTGCATAAACCGCATAAGCCTCCGCCCCGGGTGTCCCGCTCCCTCGCACGAGAGATCTCCAACAAATAGCAGAACAAATGTCATTTTCTACGCCTAAGAGTCCGCAATCCGCAATCCCGTAGTGACATCTCGCGTGTTCGCTCGTCTCGTAAATTAAACGCGCTTTCATCTGAAGAGAAGAATTAAACATCTATTAGAAGTTAGCCCCCCCTCCACTTTTAGAAACTTAATTTATTTTAGGTTGTGCCGACTTGTACTAAGCGAGTATATGTTAGATATGCATTTGCATGCTCTTTAGATGACCGATACAAGAATAAATGTCATTTATATATTTGTTTTCCCCAAATCTATTTTTATCATAACCTCTATTGTTATTATTTTTAAAGATAATATTTTTTGGCACAACCTAGCACAACCTATCACAATCGAGAAAATTCGCAAAGTGGGGAGCTAGCCTAAAATGTCGTTTTTTTTTTTCTATTTTTTACTATTACGGTTTTAAAATTTCGAGCACAATGTAGCACAATTCAGCACAACTCTCAAAATAAGTTATTTCTAAAAGTGGGGGGCGTAACTTCTAATAGGTGATTAAACTGGAAAGCGGCGGCACGTCATCGAATGCCACATGTTTGAATGCCGTAACATTTTTCTTATTCGGTTTTTTTTTCCCCCTATTCATCAAAGCGATAAATATAAATGTAAATTTTAATATAAAATATTAGATATAAAAATTCTAGATAATGCCTCCTATAACACGTATCCATTTACATTTATCTGGAAATAAATTTAAATTCACTCTTGAACAGGACTATATTTAAAAATAGATGTAATGAGTTGATTGAGAGATTATGTTCGATCGAAGGAACGTAATAACTGATGATGAAAACCAGTTTCGTCGCGGAGATTTCTGTTCCACTTGATTTTACAGCTTAATGTAACGACGTATAATCACACATATGCATACACGTAGAAAACCCGGAAGTATAATTATAATTTAGATTTTAATTAATACCACCGAGTGACGGATCAATATTTTTTATCGTTATTTCGCGTTGTGGTGAAACTAGACTGATGATTATTTTGAATAAAAAGGGGTACGACGAATATTGAATTAATCGTTAATAGGAATGACTATGAGATTTCATTTTACGATAGACATTTATTACTCCAGAAAAACTGACAATTTAACTTTCTTATCAGTAATACAGCGCTGTCTTAAACGAAACTAAAAAGGTCACGATCTGAATCATGAAAATTTTATGAAATAAGAAAAAAATCTTGTATATGATAAAAAATTATATCGATAACGTTTATCTTAATTAGATTTCAAATATCGTGTTAAATAGAGACATTTGATACGATTTGAAAGTAATCAAAGCCGTCGAAAAAACTGAAATTAACTTGACGTTATGGTTAATTTTTTCGCTTCGACGGATATTAATTGTACATTTTTTAAAACGGAGGTCCCGAGAGGAAACGTGTGGAATTTAATGTTTTCTTGCGATAACCTCCTGACATTTTTTTTAACTCTTTTTTTTTTTCTTTACGCTTTCATTAAACATGTAATTTTGTTCATCCTACTTATTTATCGATTAAAAAGAAAATATTTTTGATAATTTAAATGTTTTAAATTAAAGATGTTAAACTAAAAATCTCAGAAAATTTTTATCGTTTGTTCATTAAAAACTGCTTATATATTTTTTTTACAATATATTATCGAATTTAAAACCAAATCATATTACAAATCTGTAATCTGTAATCAGAATTGCGATTTAATTTTTTAGATACTTTAAATTTTTCTTTGCTTTTGGTAGGAATTGAATCAACGTCTCGTCAACTACGTGTTAATGTAGATAACTCTTGTATATAATTTCTTATGTCTGAATGTCCTCGAGATTCGATTTGCTGTTGACGACAATCAGACGTGCCGTGGTTTCTCGCTGCGTACCTCGATCTCTTCATATCGGTATGCCACGTTGCACCGAGAGAGAGAGATATGTCCGTGACTCGTACAGTATTCCGGTTTTGCGTCGCGATGACGAAATCTCCGAGTCGCAACTCGAATCTGCATTTCTCTCCTCTTACATACGAGCACCTCTCTTCTGCGCTTATATGGCGTATAATATGCTGCGTAATGACAAGTAATTCGTTCGAGATGCTTCAATCCTTTTCCCGGCGAGAAAGCGTCATCCGATATACACTCAAAAAGGGAAACGTGAATGTGCAGTCCACAAATGGTGACAAATACTTGATTGACCATAAAGCGTTGTAAAATGTTAAAGGACTATCGAACAGAGGATACTAATACTTAAAGGTTAAAATTGATTTCGCAAACAATTGCAGAGTTGTATGTTTAGGAACTCTCCTAATTCCTGCAATTTTTTAAAAATTATCATAAACTTCCGCCTTGCGCCTAGTTACAATTTTAACATTTATGAAATAAATCTATAAAACACATTGTGATTTATCATAAGTTACAAATTGTAAGTTACGTTGCAAATCATAAATTTCCAGGTGAACGTTCGCTCAATTAAAAAGAAGATACGACTTCTCAATAATTTGCTTGAGGCTATTTCGTTTGATTTTAACCATCTCGCATAGACGGTCTTGGCTGCTTAGAAAGTTGCTTACTTGACATAAAGCGCCGCATTTATTGTCTGCTCGAGGCATTTGCCTTTCTTGAGATTAATCAAAGGAAATGAGCGCAAATCAACGACACTGTGCAAATAATGTTTCATCGAAAGATTTTTGTACCCCGTATAATAAGCGGAGCATATGTGAGCGATGCGTGTCAAATGACGGCGATGCACTGCGAATAGGCAAAGCAGAACACGTGTGAGCTGCGAGGAGTTCATTCATTCGTCTGATGGCCTCCCCTTTATCTCCCTTTTACGCCATAACTTTATCTCTCTCGCTCATTATCTTGCCCCTATGCGGACCAACAACCACAATTTATTCTTAATTTATTTTTGCTCCCACATTCTACGATGGGACATGCAGCTATAAAGTATTTAATCTCCCTTTCTAGTTCAATATTTAAATATAGCAGTTATTGAAGGTCGTTTGATCTACAACAATCATGTTGTATATCATTTAAAAATATATATTTTAATAAAATGCATAATAAAACGTAATATAAAAATTAAAAATCATCTTGATTCGTATGTTTGCAAAATTTCCTGAGCATTGTATCGCGTTGAACATGTGTTTTTTGTGTAATGCAACTACTAGATGTAATCAGCTTAACAGTTGTAATCATTAACGGTAACGCAATTTTACGACGTTGTTGTGCATGATAATTGTAAGAATTTTTTATCACGTCCCGTTAATTCTTACGTATTTCTATTTCTATTGCACGTTGCACCTCTATTTAAGGCAATTCGTCACGAGTTTAGCCAAGCGTGATTTGAAACTAATTCGAAATTTTATCTCCGCAGATCCGTTTGTCTATTCAAGATTATCCAAGAGGAATATTGCGAATTAAGTGATCTCTTCACGGATATAACGTTACGATTAAATAAACACATGTTCTGGGTTCTCTTAGCACACACATACTTGCTTCGCTAACACGCTATACGTCATATACATATACGTCGAATTAAGCGCTTCACCGGATAGTAAAAGAGAACACATGTGAGACTGACTTGTGTGCGTCTTTTTTCTGTCTTTTTTTACTTCACATTTGCGTTCGCTCTTGCTGTTTTATGATTTTTAGTTTATCGTGGGTACAAATATAAAAGTACATTTGCTTTAAAGAATGTTTATATCGGAAGTTTGAAAGATGCATTAAAAATTAGATATTTATAGAAGAGAAAATTGCATTCGATCGATTTTTTTTTAATAAAAATATCGGCCCCCGAAAAAATTAACGAAAAATTTGTACTCGAGAAAAGGTTTGATACTAAGCATCATGCTCCTTCCACGCTTTACAAACTTCCTCGAGTCCCGTGCTATTTTTACACACATTTTTAGTCACGCCTTTCTACCAAATGTTAATAAAATCGTACGAATGATATCATCCGCGGTCATCGTTGGTTCAGCGTGAATGATTCATTTCCTTCGACGGTGATCTTTTCTATTTAGGGAATGTCACTCGCTTACGTCTCACGGCGATCTTTTGCGCGTTGGTAAAATTTTTCTCTATTCGTGCGTAAAAACGAACATGTTTTATCTATTTATATTTTTATGTTCTGGTTATAATGCAAATACACCTAAATATATTTGGAGAAATGGAGAGCGACCGTTTTTAACCGTAGTATAACGCGATGCATATGCAAACGTGATCATGCCGAATCGCATGGGAGTCGTTCGCCTCGACGACGCGTAGATGGAACAGGAAACGCCGCCGCCTGTCACGTCGCACTTTTAGCTTCGAACAATTTAACAGCTAGTCGTAAAGGGGTGCCCAGCCTAGCGTGGCCTGTCTGCATGCCTACAGTGAACCGACCTTGTCCCACAATGCATCCACCTCTGGACCTCGCTATCTCGGCGGGCATACGAAATTTTTATATTACACAGAGTTCGTATTCTCTCTCTCTTTCTCCCTCGTACGCGATGCAGTGTCTCGTGTGCAACGAGATCCCTTGCGCTAGAAATCTGCGATTAAAAGCAAATCGCTACAGACGCATTCGCATCCGGTATTTATCTCTTCTGCGTAACGCGAATCGCGCAAAACCGAGTCGGAACGAGCGAGTGGCATGTGAGTTTTTCTCAGCGCGAGATCGAAAGTGAGCGTGTAAAGCTCTGTATAAATTATTTTACCACGAGATTTGCGTTATTATCGTCGGAAAGGAAGAGTCGCTAGATTTGTTTAAACGCGACACATATTGCTCTTGAGAACATCCTATCTCAAACTGGATGGAGGATCATGTTGAAGAGGCAAAGTAATTCTGAAAGCAACATCTAAGAATAAACGTATGATCTTTAGTATGTATTCTTGTAGATATACATTGTTAACTAAAAAAATTTCTAAATAAATAAAAATCTCAATTTCATTGTTTTACGTCGAGAGTGGGGTTTCTGGAAAGTATATTGAACTTTCGTGAAGCAATTTTCCGTTGAGGAAATAATAAATATCTGTACTGAAAGGTTAACATTTGCGAGCAAGACGGCAAAACTTGTACAACGCAAAGAATTACGCCTGTTTATGAGAACCGTATAATTTTCTAAAGTTAATTAAATCACAAAATAATTGCCGATACGAATGACATTCTTTTTAATCGAATAAATTGTACGTTGCAGTTTCAGTTTCACCAATAATCAGTTACGTTCAACTCAATTTATTTTGCATTTTTTTTATCATGATTATATAAACTGTGATTATATAATTACAAGAAATGCGCACGCACACGCACACACACACACACGTTTGAAACTATCCGAAAAATATTGTTAACATATTTTTAAAGAATCTTTTAACATTTTTTATTTAATGTTTTTAAAAATATATCATAAATATATATATTTTTCTAAGATAACAACATTAGACGAAAGAATAGTAAATTTTGGATGGTACAAGTTGAAACGTGTATCTTCCCTGGGAACTTTTATTTCTTTCTTTTTTTTTCTCGACCTTCGTGAGAATTTCTAGAATGTGGACATAAGTACGGCTTCGCTTTGTCGTTACGATTGACGACGGCAAGTTCCGAAGCCATTGGAGACTCGTACGCGTAGGTAACGGATTCCAATAGACCCGCCTTGAGAAATTTCTCCCGCGTTAAGAAACATCGCGCGAGACTCCACAGATTTTGTGCGCATCGGTGTAATATCGTACGTAATCCGCTCTCACGAGCGAAATGTGCGCGAGCGTAATTTCGAATCCTGCAACATTTGCCCTCCACTTAATCCACACCTGTTTGTACTAAGGGAGAAACGCCTTAATAAAAGTTAATAATATATGTTTAGACACATGGAATTTCAGAAGAAATTGTCGCTCTTATCTCAATATTGTTTTTATACCGCATGGGGGTAGCGATAAGATTAAATACGTCAAGAATATTTTTTGTTTTTCTTCTTATCAGAAATGCTTTTCTGTGCATAAATAAATGCAAAGATGAGGAGGATCATGCAATGTTTAAATTTGTCATTCATGTTTATCTGATTGAAAAATAATAATCTTCAAACACTGTTACCAACGTAGCTAACTAGCGTTTGATGTGTATAATTTTGTGTATTCAATTATTCGCTTATCGAGCGATATTATGATTCTTGTGATAGCGATATTATGATTCTCTCAATAATTTATCGATACCGTCTCCCTGACATTATTTGGCCGATGTGACAATCAGGTAATGATAACGCAACAAATGTTATCATCTCCGTCGCATTAGTGACCGAGACTTACGTACGTGGGGTATTCGATAAATCAAACGTGCAATGTCGCGTGATGTAGAGACAAGCAAATCGAAGAAGCTTCGTTGAACGATCAAACGAGGGAATATATATGTAAATTTGTAATGCTCTGTCATTCGATTGATATTTATAATATTGTTGACGAATAATTGACATGTTATTTCCGCTATATTATATTTAAAAGAATCACAGAAATATTATCACATTTTTATATATTAATTTGATCCACGTATTTGAATAACATTTGAAACAAATGTTCGTTGTATATCAAACGCGTCGTGACACTTCACGAGTGATTTAATCATTTGAAATCAGCACTTTGATGAAATGCTTTGCATCATTTTATTCGAACCACATGTTACATTAACATTAAAACTCCCACATTTTCACTCTCGCTTTAGTGAAAAAAATTTCGTCAAAAAAATTCGAAAAATATTACGAACGTATATCATAGTAACGTATATCATAGTAGGTAGACGAGTGTTTGTTAAGAGATTAGTCATCGCATATGTATATGCGGTTAAATTATTCGATGAATCACTTCGTTGCGTATTAATCGCGGTTGGTGGGTCATCCTCTGGGGAAAAAAAACTGATCATACGTATACATTCGTAAATCTTTTATTGAAAACTTTTGATTTATTAATAAGATTATTATTCGTACATATTCATTGCGTAAATTAAATTTTTTAAAATTTTATTTCTTAACACTTCAAAAAGATATGTGATTTTTTGCAAAAATTTTGCTCTTTATTGCTCTTATTTGAATTGTTTTAAACACACTTCTTTATCCTATTAGTCAATTTTTAATTATAATTTTTTTATTTTGCGTTATATTATCTGATAAATTGCAAAGTACGTTTTATTTTTACCTCTTATCACATCTTCCTGTTATGTTGTTATCAATATCTGCGGCGCGACAATTGGAAAAACAGTAGAACAGTCGTAACGGAAAGGCGCGGCCCGCATTATTTTCCAATTTTCTTCCTTTTGCGACGGTTCTCAACATCTACTTTTAGCGGGCCTCCTCTTTTTTTTCCACGGCAAATTCGAGGGACTCAGATGCAGAGCATCGCTCGACAGGGCATTAATTCTTCCTCGCCGGGCACGTAACAATGACTATCCCTCGTCTTCTCCGAACAAAGAGAGTCAGAGTGCATGCCTATTATTCGTGGACGGTGCGCCGGAGTATTATGTAATCGCGTGGCACAATTACCGGGTCGGACAACGCGCGGACATCGTATATGGGAAACGAAGTCGTGACACAAATCTCGATTACGTCCCGCGCCTATACACCAGACAAAGTCGGTTAAGACTCGTGCGTTACATATGCATATTTATACAATTTACTTACGATTATATATTCTAGACGACTGGTGTACGGGATTCGATTGATTAGCATCGCAGAAAGCAACGCAATTATTAAAAATTTTGAAGACAGACTTTTACTTAAAAGAGAAAAATCGATCTCATAATCCTGTTCAATTTACGATAAGACAACAGATAAATAACAACAAATTAAAGATTATAATTTTTATAATTTTTGCACGCGCACGCATTTTTGCGCGTGAGACGTGATGGGAGGTTGCAGCAATCAATGGGTTAATGTACTGGAATTTCTATAAAAACAATGCGAAGCATTTCCTTAATTGCGTCAGCACCAGCATTTTTTTATGCGAATCACGTTACGATACTGTTCGCGCGTGTCACTGAAATCGCATTCTCACGCGTGTCATTTACTGCAAGTGCACGCATATATCGTTATATCGCACTCGCGTGCCGATTTCTATCTCGTTAAATAGGTACCTGCGCCGCGATTAAATCGGTCGAATTCCCGACAAGAAGGTTTCTATCGAATTTCTCTCGGCTTACCCGCTTGCCTGCCAATTAATAATTATTTTTATTCTAACGCGCGTCGCGTACAGCAAAAAGCGTGCGGGACGAATTATCCGCTTAAAATTGGCTCGTTTATTATGCACGCTTAATTCGCTAGGGTATGCTAATCACGTTCAGGATATATCGTACCTCTTGCCCGCCTAATTAATAAGTCCTTACAATTACAACGTGTTCGAGACCTGTACTGCTTGCAAAGTATTACCGAATTAAAAAGTCGCCTATAAATAATTATAATTATTTATTAACTTACAATTATGATTAGATTTATTTTGTCACAATCCTGCGATATACATATACATTAATTTTTCTAATGATTAAATTAGTATAATTCTAATTATTTCTAAATTTTTTTCTAATAATAACTCCTGTTATTTTTAGAATTAACTTTAATTAATAGCGTTGAGATTTTTTAGCAAAATCGTATACGTATGTGTATAAACTTAAAGTTATAAATTCCGTCTAATTCCACGGAAATGTGAATTTCTAGTATGCAGCTGTGTAGATAAAGCTTTTTTCTGGATTAACAATGATACCATGAATGCAAATATCATTATCACATGTGCGAGGCATATGTTAAACGTATTATATGCGTCATAGGCGAGATGTAAGAAATTCGAATTTTCCGAAGCCATTGTTAGTCGCGTAACTTTGATGCGCACAATTCGACGTGCATAACTCCGCTTTATGCTATTCTTCTCTCCGTGACTATAATTAGCTATTATAATCGACGTATACGAAGGATGCTCACGATAAGACTGACGTCGTTGACCGCTTGTCGTTCACTTGGAACTTGCATTAGTCAGCAAACTTCCATGTTTCCTTTGTGAAGGAGGTCGCCTGAGGGAATCCATGTAAAATAATGCGAGATTCTCGTGTACGCGAGATATTTTCGTTAGGAGAGAGAGAGAGAGAGAGAGAGAGAGAGAGAGAGAGAGAGAGAGAGACGA